AACACAATAATGCCTGCAAGTAACCCCCCGTTTCCACTTGATGTAAGCAGGTCTTTCACTGTTTTTAGACAGTTTCCAAAAATTCTTCTAAGCCCAAATGCAGAACACCTTAGTCTTATTTATTTATTTTTTGGTTACCTGGGACATTAACTTTTAAAGCAAAGAAATTATTTGTTTAAAAAGCAGGCTTCATTTGACTGGATCTATACTGTCGGAACTCAACCAAGAATTAGGAGAAGTGCAAGTTGCAGTGCTCCAAAATCTTGCGACTATAGACTATCTACTGTTAAAAGAACATATGGGATGTGAACAGTTCCCAGGAATGTGTTGTTTTAATTTGTCTGATTTTTCTCAAACTATTCAAATTCAGTTAGACAATATCCATCATATCATTGATAAGTTTTCACAAATGCCTAGGGTGCCTAACTGGTCTTCTTGGTTTCACTGGATATGGCTGGTAATTGTAGGTCTGCTTTGGTTATGTAGTGGTATTCTTATTATGTTAATGTGTGCACGCAATTTAATTAGTAGTTTAAAACCTATACATGCTTATGTTACACTACAAGAAGATATATCAAAGAAATAATCAATATTCCCATGTTTTCTTCCATCTGCTACTTCTATAGCTTTTCTTCTTCCTTCCTAATTACAACCTTTAAGTAGAATTCGTGCCTCATATTGAAATTACCGAGTATGATAATTCTTCCAAGTGGTAAAGATACCTCAAGACAAATGTTGGGCATAGAAGCCACAGGGCATAAATCTGCAAAGAAGTAAAAAGCTAACCTTTTCAAACAATATGGCTTCTCTCCCACTTACCAACCTTACATTTCCCTGTATGGCCCCGGAAGATGACTGGTTAGCCAGAGACGGGTAAGATTCCTCAAGGGAGGAACAACCTAAGACAGGCACAGTCGCAGGGGGGCCATCAGGTGAGAAATTGGGGATCAACAGAGGTGAGGCTTAGAACCTCACCCCCCGTTTTGAGAGAAATCTTCTGCATCCGTGGATGTTTTGCTGCCCTTGTCTAGCTTGGATTAATACTTAGTCTACAGGCACACACCTGATCAACTACATTTGCCCTCTTACAGCACTAAACTATGTTTTCTACCTTTATCTTGCATCTACCTACCACTTCAGCATTTTATTAAAAATAATAATAATTAAGAGAGAAATGTGGGATTCACATATAAATCAAGTATAAAAATCAAACGAATAATCATATTTGACCTGATTGTTTATAGTTCATGATGCGTGATCAAAACGGAAAGTTTCTGTGATGACTGTCCTTGTACTGTTCACCATGTAAGAACTTGTTCATTATGCTTCAGAAGATTGGAGACTGTTGAGAATTAGGCTTGGGGTTGATTAATGATTGTGCATTGAGTCCCCTGTACAGAATTTTATTGTTGTTAACAACCATATGATCAATAAATAGAAGGGATGCCCTCTCAATAAAAAAAAGCAGGCTTCAATTGAAAAGCTGACCTTTGTCAACAAAGTTGGTTAGACTTCTAGAATCCTTACTGTTGACAGAGAAATTCTAAGAAAATAAAAGCAAGGTTTCAAGGATAGGAAATAATTGAAATGTTCCCACTATATGCACAAGCATAGACACAGAAACAAACATGGGTGCACACATATGCACATTTCAGTTCAATAATAGTTTATGATCTCTCCGCTCACCAATATAATCAATTTCTTGATTATATTTGTGTATTTGTGTATCTTGTCTGGTCATTCAGTCCCCCACTCCTCCCAAACACACACACATCATCCTGCTTTCACTAGAGCCAGGGAAAGAGTTGGGAATACTTGAAGAAATCCTGTGACTGCTCTATGGATGAGCCGTGCCAGTACAAACTCAGAGTAACGCTACCCCTCACGGAAGATGGCTACTTCGACTGGGGACTCAGAACCCAATGCCCGGAACTTCTTGGCACCAGGGACTCAAGCTGAATTCTAATGCTAAGTGCTTTTGAAAAGTGCATCAAGATTTAATAGGGTAGATTTCCAGACTTGGGCAGAGTTTTAGCCACATAAATTCCATTAGGTTTGAAGCTCTACAATGCTCCACCCTGTCTATATTTAATCTACACCCTTCCAAGTTCTCTGTTAGGCTGCCTAACCTCTCATTTTCTTTCCTCCTATTTTTGGTTTTCATATTACCCTTGATGCCTGTATATTCTCCTGACTTTAAGGCCCTACGTTTCCCTCTACCCCTCTTTCAAATCCTTCCTCGAGACCTATATTTCAAAATAAATATTTTCTTCACTGATCTCTTACCATGACATTATTGCATCTGCCCCATTTTTCATACAAGGCTCTACCAAAGCCCATTTGTACCATCACCAAAGACTGCCCACACATAGGCTGCTCCTCAGATGGCCACCTTCAGAGGGGAGGACAGCTCAGACTCTGGAAATGTCCCTCTCATTGGTGTGCCAGGGCACTGAGAGAGCAGAAGCGTGAAGTTGTTTCTGAATCTGGGTCAGCCACGTTGTGCATGTGTAGGAGAGAGGATTACAGCAGAGTGGGTCTAACTGGGTCTGTGACCTGTCACTGCTAACGAGGTAAGGACACAGGCTGACAGACCCCTTGATGGACCAGTCCTGAGTGATGGCACTGCAGTGTAAGGAGGGGACAGGAGCAGATACTGGGACAAGAGAAGGGACAAGAATGATATCCCAGCCTCCCATTATATTCCTCCTCCTTCAAAGCAGGTTTTTTGTTTTGTTTGTTTTTAAGTATTACAATCCTGTCTTAAGTCAGCCAGTGGAATTTAGGATTAGGATTTCCAAATGACTGTGCAGGAGCAGAGCAGAGGAAGACACAGGCAAGCAGAGTATAATTAAAGAAATATAATCGAGGATGGATTTTCTAGCAACTGTTTACCTTCATGCATGCTATTTGATTAACATTATGGCTTAGAAAATGTAATCAAGCAATCATTTTTGAAATTCATTCATTCCACAAACATTTATGGAGTATCTACCAGGTGCCAGGCATTTGCTAGGCACTAAGTTACAGAGAGGAAGGAGACATGCCTTGCTCTCCGGGAGCTCACAGTCTAACGGAGGAGACAGACACATAAACAAAGAGCTACAATACCATGAAATTGGTGCCAGTCAAGGTGCAGATAGGGCACTAGAGGAACCCAGAGGAAGGAGCTAAGCCTGGTGGAATCAGGGAAGCCTTCCTGGAGAAAGGGAGAACTGAGCTGACTTGGAGGAGAGACAGGACTGCACCAGGAAGACAAAGGAAGGTAGGGGAAGACGCTCTAGGCTGAGGGGACTGCAGACACAAAAGCAAGGACTCGTGATAACACAGGACATGACAGAAGCACAGGTAGCCCCCCGTAGCTGGGACTCCATCCATGTATGAAGCAGTGGTGAGACAGGAGGTCAGGAAGAGAGTATGGAGTCAGTGTGCAGAGCAGTGTATGTGGGACTAAGACATTCAGACTTTGTCCTGGCATGATGAGAATGCACTGAAGGGTCCAAAGCAGGGAGTGACATGGTTAGAGCTGCCGTCAGATGGGCCTGTGTGGAGGAGGGTGGGGAAGAGAAGGGAGACTACAGGGAGGGAGGCCAGATAGGAGGGGCTGTCACAGCAGTCCAGGCCAGAGGCGCCGACAGGTGCTTGGAAGGCAGGGAGGGTGAAGAGTGGCAGCCTGCAGAGATACTTCAGAGGATGCCTGACAAGACTTATGAATGATGATACAAAAAGCAAAGGCATGTTAACAACCATTTGATCAATAAATATGAGAGATGCCCTCTCAAAAAAAAAAAAAGCAAAGGCACCTCCAAAATGAAACAGTAGCAAAAGCAAATTGCATCCAGAAAATACAACCAACAGCCCCAGTGGCCCCTTCCTTTGTGCTGCCATCATCCTCTGAAACCACTGCTTTGCTGAGTACAAACAGAGGAAGAAGAGCAGAGGGCGCGTACGCTCAGACTTCCTAATACAGACACCACTGCCTGGGCGCCTGCGACACTTTAGAATTCAGACACAATGTCGGTGACTCTGTCGAGCGTGAATTTTAACCTATTTTCTTCCTCTGTGTCTTTTCAAGCCTTTGGTCACCAGTAAGAGGAATCCAATCTAAGAGCAGCAGCTTCTTCCACTCAAGTGCTTGAGGGGCAGGAGGCAGCCGCTGACATGGTGGTATGTGCGTTGAGTCACACCCAATATCTGTCCCCCACCCAGGGGCCACAGGTCCTGGGATCCGATCCTTACTGACTCATTCCTTCGGGAGAGGCTTTCGTCTCTCCGGATTTCTCTTATAAGGCAATGACTCCTGAGATGGGTAGACACCCAGTCATCCTAAACCCAGTGGGATTGTGGTCGAGCCTAACGCGTTTGGCTTTGACAGAAGGGTTCAAGGTAGCATAAGAGGGCTATGTGGGTACTGGTGGAAGAAGGTGGTGCAGAAGGGAAGATTTAGGGAAACAGAAGATAACCTTAAGATCTTGCCAAGGAATAACCCTGCAAGCACTTAAGAAACTAAGATTCTTAAAGAAAGCCTTTCACTTCCCATTCCAGCAAATCACATGTGTGCATTCTTGTACCTTAAGAAACTTTTGTGTTTTATGTTTTTGATATGCTATTGGCTAGTGAAGGCCTACGGTTACTCAATCTTTTCATAGGCCTTATAGTGCTTATGACCAATTAAAATCGCCAATGTTATCAATTTGTACATAACATGACCACAAATGCATTCTCAAACTGTTTCGCAAGTCCAACTTTTCATTCACTCAGACTGACCTTGTGTTTTGTCATTCGAAGTCATGGAGATTTCACTGCGTTTGCAAAGTGTGAATCAGTCAAGTCACAAGTGACAGAAGATCAAGACTCAAACCTCTGCCCTTGGAGAGTCTCATCTGTGTCTCAAGGACGTAAGTAAGAGCTGCTGGTGACTACTTGATTACAGAAGTTAGAGCACTCAACTCAAGAAAAAAGAAAGAAAGAAACAAAATAAAACTTTAAAAATTACTTACTTCACTTGTTTGGAGAATTGTGAACTTTGGCAGTTTAGTCTTCGAACTGGCAGCGCTGGGCTTTCCATCCAAGAGTGACCCAAAGGACAGGTTCCCAAAGCTGTTCTCGAATTCAATGGACGGTTTCAGGGTAGGTGAGATGTCCGGCACCTGGTCCTGGCCGTCCATGGGTCTGACGTAGGCCGTTGGTTTTTGCTGCCCCATGCTTGTTTTGCAGTAAAGCCCCGGTGGGAAGTTTTGAACTGAAAGGCCACTGCTTGGAGCTAATAAAGACGAAGCAACCAGGGGAGACCCAGGTGCTTGCACTGTAAATTCAGACTCTTGTGGTGACATGGATTGAAAGATTTCTTTGAAGGTGTCCCCTCCACTGGACTTGAGATTACTATCTTCCTTTGCAGAGGGCTTTGACTCTTCAGCTGCTCCAGCTTGAGGCTGTTCAGCTGGGTAGACAAAGAAGTCTTCTAGTCTGGCTTGGGGCTGCTCCTGTGTAGACGGCTGCATCTTGTTTGACTGACTGCCGGCCTGGCTGGCTGGGACGATGCTAGCATTGTGACCATCTCGTGGCCAGTCAGGTTTTGATTTCCTGTTGCTGTGTATTAAAGTTGAATTCAGTATCACGACAGAAGGTGGAGGCATGGGTGCCGAGGGGTGAGTGTTATCCTGGTGAGGTGGGACCATTCGGTTCTTTTGTTCTGGAAAAAAGCTTGGTTCATTTTTGTTGATGGGAGGCTGCGGCACAGAATTCTTTGGGATTCCCACTAGATGATTCTGATTAGAATGGTTAGTTAGCAAATCCTTCATTTCATCATAGTTTCCCAGCGTGTTCTGGACGCGGTTGGCAAGTGCATCACCTCTGTTTGTCTAAAATAACAAAAAAGATGGGGGTGGGAGGAGAGAGAATGAATAGGTTTGTGTTTCCTAACGTTAATGTTTCAAACAGATGTCCTAAATAGACTAGCATATAGAGGTCTTTAAAATCCTCATGCTTCCATACAATTTCATACTTTTCATGTGCTATGTAAGAAAAAAAGCAATAATGCTATTGAAAGAGGCTCTCAGAATGAGCTGTGTGATTGTTTGTATACGCCCTGGCCTGTCCTTACACATGCACTTTGGGAGAAAGTTTTAAAAATCCTGTTGTTTATGAATTTTGTTAGCAAAATAACTTATTTTAGGTCAGATGAGCTAAATTTTTAACAACATTCTACATTATGATTAACAACTTTCGCTTACTGATCATTGGAATTATAATGGAATGTTTGACTTATAGCTGTTCTTTGACACGTCAGCCATTTGCACTACATTAGACCATGAAAAAGGCTTAGCCTGTTGGATAAGGAAGTCAGTTAAATTGTGCTATCATGACTGCATTCTGTTTAGAAAAGACATGGGATTAAGCAAGATCTAATTGAGCTAACATGACTAAAGCGAATCTAATTCCTTTTAATCAAAGGACTGTATAAATTACTGGTGTCTGCCTGCATATTCTGGGGGTAACTGTGTTTATATATTGATGAGTCATACTCGTTTACTTTGAAATGGTGCAGTTGTTCAGGAACAGTGACTCAAGCTCTCCTGTGTCTTTTCAATGATTTAGAAAAATTTATTCAAGAATTTCAACTGTTGCTTAAGTAAATCAAAACAAAGTCAGATTTTCAAAGAGATGGTGGCAACTAAATCATTCATTCTGTGGATAATCAGCATACTAGCTACACCACCTCCTGGAAGATATACTGATCTTATTAAGGTCACGCATGGTTTTTGGAATACAGAAAGTACTGCTTTCATAACTAAAAAATGGTGGATAGCTGTATACTTGGAAATGACTTTGATGAAAGCTCAGCTGTTCATCTCTGAAAGTCACTTTTTATTATTCTCTTTACCTGCCAAAGATATTATCAAACAAGCTGTCAAATTCAGAAGGGCAAAGGACTTCTTTGTACCTAGGCTGCACTATCCTGGCCCAAGATATTACAATGAAACAAAGCTACCAGCGTGCATGGAGCCATGTGGCAGCAGGGCCGCTGGATGGGGAAGACACCCATCCTATGTCCCAGGAGCCACAGACATGATCTCTGTGCACAGGAGGGGGCAGCCACTTAGTACAACCTCCCCATTGGTACAGTCTCCAGTGAAGATAGATGTTTAACATCTAAGGTTTCTCACATGCCCTTAACACAGTCCAGTCTCCTGGTATGCATGGGGAGCGTGCCTATCCAAGTCTGGGATCTCAGTCTGAACCTAGGATGTATGGCTGTGTGCTGTTTTCTGTATATGAAGATGGGAGAGTGTACAGATGAATGGAAAGTGAAGTGCTGAAAACAGATGAAATCACCCAGGGAAAGATAACTTAGAATGAGAAGATCCTGCTCAGGAGAGAACCCTGGGGCATATCAACCTTTAAGGGACTGGTAGGAGAAGAGAAGCCAGCAAAGGATACCAAGAAAGAATAACCACAGAGGGAATCTAACTGGAAACATTCACCTCATTATTAGCATGATCTCTATATACAGTATTCAACTGTGTTAAGTCATGTAAGACACTTCCAAAGAAATGAGGGCAGTTAGGGAAATAGGATTTCAAAGATTAAGGGAAAGTATGTTAAATATATGCTAAGAGGGTTCTGTTGGGGATGGGTAATTTTAGAAGTCAAATAAATATGTCAATTTTAGTTTTCTTATCCTCAAGAACATCTTATATTGCATCACATGCAACTTTGGTGCTGAAGTAGTGATTAAACAATTAACATTCCATATAATCCTCAGCTGAATAATTGCTCCATTTTCAGAAGTACATTTGAAAGGCATATTTAATAGATAAAGATGAGTAGAAATCACTTTGTATTCCCTGAAACTCCCCAGGTTTATCAATTTTAATGCCAGAAATTACTTTTCAGCTAAGGCAGGAATAAACTCTTTGTATATAGTGGGCTCCTTCAACAGAGTTGCACAATGAACCATTGGGTAGCAGCCAAAACCTGTCTTTATTCAATTCCCAAATTCAAAACAAAAAGATTTCATTGTGCAGATGGCCCAGTAAGAATTTGATGCAAGCTTTAAATATTTGCAGGGTTGTTCTGCTTATCTCTTGGATCAGATGATTACCAATGAACTCTAATATCTGGCTATTGTCAAGGATCTGACCCAACAAGGAAAAACACCATCACTTCATTTCTCATTTTAAATGCCTTCATTTTATGTTGTCTCATTTAATGAATTAGGCTACACTTCCTTCCATCAGACACAGACTTCTATATTCTATGAGCTTTCCCTTTTTGCCTTAGCTACCAGGAAACTCAAAGTTCAATTTATTGAACTTTCACTGAAATAGAGTTCTACAGAGTCAGAACCTTGCCCTGAGATGTCACAGAGCCCACCACAGTACCTCAAAGCCCTGAGAAGTCATTCATTCTCTTTCAGTAAACACCATCAGGCCTGAAGAACCTCAGTCAAGATCCATTTGCTTGTAAGCAAACTAGTCACATTCCTGTTCTATTCAGCAGTAAATAAAAGGGTGCTCATCTTTTCTTCAATGGAGAGAACTTTAGTTAGGTTTTAATATCTCTTCACTTGCGTCTGCTGTTACAATGATCTGGGTTTCTGATGCATGTTTAAATTATTTTTCCCATCTCTAGGTTTTAAAATATGCTTGAAATTAGAACTTCTAAACCGGCCTATGCCTAAAACTGTCTGCATGAATAAAATGAGAGGATAATTGAAATTTTCTACATAAGTCTAGAAAATTAACCCCCTACTACACAGGGCATACTACAGTTATGATTTCTCTTCCTGCATAAAACTAAAGATCTTAAAGGTCAGAAACCCCCTTTTATTCTCTGAAAGTCACTTTTCACATCTAATGCATACTATGTAGTCAATAAATTATTAGCACCACGTCTAATGCATACTATGTAGTCAATAAATTGTTCCTGAGTTGAATAGCATCAAATTATAATTCTTACCCTCCCTCCCTATACCAAAATAAAGTATTTGAGATGGCTTGGACTAGAAGGTACATAAATAGAAAAGGAAAAGCCAAGCTAACTTCGCTACCATGACATTAAATGTTACTGAACATTAAATTGAACTTTGAGCTTCTTGGTAGCTAAGACAAAAAGGAAGAGCTCATAGCATATAGACTTCTCTGTGTTTGATGGAAGGAAGCATACCTTCAGTCATTAAATGAGACAAATGGTTGCCAGATACTGAAACATGAAAAGGAATTCCTCTCATTGGTTCTGTTACAAGACCCTTTGAATTAAACTGTTTTCTTCACCAATTTTACAAAAAAATGCAAAGAGGATCTGCTCACGGCTTCTTTTGATGACAACTACAAAATAAGAGCAGCGCATTAAAATCTCACTCGGGGAAGATGTCTGCTTGTGGAGTTAGGAGGCCAGGTGAATAGCCCCAAGTGTGGGGGCTTTCCTGGGCCCTAAGGACATAGGGCCAGAGCTGGGAAAGCCTGGAGAATGGAGGACTGTCAATTCCCTTAGACAAGCTTCGTCCCAGAGCAGTTGTCTCAGAGGAACTTCTGACAGGAACTACATTGCAGAGAGTTCAAGGTTGAGTTCACTGGCAACACATTCTGAGTTGTTGATTGAAGGAAGATCCATATGCTTTGCATAAATAACAGAAATGCTGTGGCTATAAGTAGAAATTACCATGGTCGTTCTTAAGACACATACTGGTAAATTCAAAGCACTCACGAGCCAGGGTCAGGCACGGAGGGCCCCCAGATACACAACCTCAACAAGTCCACCATTGAATGATCTCCAAATAATGAGCAGCACAGTCCAGGTTTCCAGAGTCAACTCTGCCTTCTCACCATTAGAGGTGGGTAACAGTCAACCAGTTTTTAAACTTCTCAAGATGTAGATACGTGATCCACTGGAGAGAAAACCCAATGGGGCCTGAAATCCATTTATGTACACCTACATAAAACATTCTCATTATATACCATAGCAGCTTCTGATTCACACTAAAGGTTCTTTTTTGCCCTCCAAAGTCTTAGTCTTCCTATTAAGGAGCAAGGTATTCTTGGCAGTCTCGATTGACTATTATAAACATGGCAAAAATGAAATGCAGCCATTTCAGTCAATTATAGGCTTCTTTCAATTGGCCAATTCTTTACTTCCTGTTCTAGATAATTGGTTGATTCCTTAAAGATAACCTCTGCAGACATTATTTTCTAAGTAATCACAATTTCTCTATCATCAAGGAAGCACATTTTCCAAGTATTTTCAGGCATAAATTACATATCTGGTTTGTGGCTCATGACTAAGAGCGCTCCTTCGTTTAAGCTTTTTGCCTCTCGTTACTTCGGGCAATGCAAAGTTGCCTCAGTTTGCTTCTAATGGTTTCTACAAATCAGTAGTATAATTTCATTGCAAGACTAATGTGCTAGGAGGCTATTGTATTGTAGTGTTTCTTTTTAATAAAAGTAGCTAAATAATTTAACTTTTGAGATTCATTTTTTCCTTTGATTTCATTGTGGCTAACGTATGAGATCTAGTCATTCCTTTTTTCCTAATCCTAATATTTTCACAGTTAATCTCTCCCAGCTGTAAGTTGCTATTTCTTTCCTTACTCAAATTATGATAATGGTAACACCTTGAATTTGTACAGCATCTTACAGACTTCGGAGCAAGGTCTCCCAGGTTGTCTGACTTGATCTGTACAACAACCACGGGAGTGAGCAGAGCAGCTTGGGTCTCCGTCTGGCTTCCACCTGTCCTGACCCAAGTGACCTCAACCTCTCTGGGCCTTGGCTTCCTCATTCTTGTTGAGCTGTGAACAGCTATCAAATGTTAGCTGCTGTTATCAGGTATAATTTTTATCATCAGGTTTCATTATTCACTGCAGAGAAGAGGAAACTACAGGTCAGAGAAATGAAGTTTCTTCCCCAAAGTCACACAAGAGGCATGTTTATCAGGTCTTCTGACTTTCTGTCAGAGGATAAACAGCTTCCTGTTACAGATAGATCCAGAATCACCCAGAACTGGGTCTAGATTCACTACACAGATAGGAAGCTGCAGAGAAGCTACCTCACCATTCTGAGCCTCAAATTCCTCACAGGAAACATGGGGGAAATGCATACTCCAGACATTATAAGGACTAAACAAGCACATATATAAAGCCCTAGCTCAGTGCCTGGCACATGGTAGGCACTTGGCACATGTCAGCTCTTCATTCCTCCCAATATTTCTACACTAACCTAGACATGGCAAATTTTTCACATTTTTCAGGCACTTTAGAAGACATCCTTCTCAACAGCATAGTATAAACTCAGATTTGAAAGTTATAAATAACAAAAGCAGCCACACAGAGGAGTTACCCACCACCACCCTAACGTAGGGGTGGTCAACATGTTTCCCATTCCAAGAGTGGTAGATGTGAAGCAAAGAAAGGAAATAAATCCACCAAGATCATGAAGAGCGCTATTTCTTCTTTCAGCCAAGAAAGAGCAGTGGGTCCTAGGGACAAATGCTCATTGGCTAGTTAATGAACCACCAACACTATTGGACAAGTGATCAGACCATGTTTTAGGCTTTTAGGGTGGCAAGAAGTTTACTGAAAGTCCTGACCCACCAGCAAGGTTTTGGATTTGTAATGTGATAAGCATTCCCACCACAACGCTACAAATTGTGGTAGGTCCTCATCTGCACCAGTGGACCACGGGCCAGCTCAAGAACTCCCACTATCACCAGTGTGTCCAGATACCCCAAGGGTGTCCCCACTGGTCCAGGTGCACATCAATTCTAGTATCACAACATGCGGGAAGGAAAGGCATAATCTCTAGTGATGTCCCTGGGAACCCTTAACGGGGAGACAGCACAAGATGGCAGCTGATCATCAAAGCCATGGTGAAAGAAAGAGAATTACTAGGTCGTCAGTTGTCAATAGTTGTTTTTTTCTTACATAACCTTGACTTGGGAATGAAGGCTCTTCCCTACCAAGAATCATAAAAGCAAACAGGCTACTAATCACACAGCAGGCCTGGCCCTGCACTAGACTAATGTTCCTACTTGTGTCTCTACCTGATGTACCGTTGTCATATCAAGACAGATGGCTTTTGAAAACTCCTGACAATGCTGGTAACAGGTTTGTTAATTGCCCACTCAAAAATAGAATGCTTATATCTAAAAATAAATATGCATCTATATGGCAGGTTTTGTTAACAAGAGATGGCATTTACCTTAAAGGTACAAGACCATTAATTCAACAAGATTTAAAATTACAAAAGGGACTAAAGCAAGGGTTCTACACCACATAATAGTGTTAAGTACAGAGAAGAGAGTAAATTATAAGAATGAGCCCCATGAATAAAGCTCAGTTTTCTAACCCACCCAAAGATAAAATGTAAAACTATCTGGTTGCTCCTCTTTCTCAAGAAGGGATGAAGGATCTGCCATCCTTTGACCTCTCTTCCATTTTCTGGAAAAAATGGAGGCCACAGCTCCCTGCCTTGCCCCAGTCTTCCTTCCACTCTCCTGCTTTGTTCTCATCTTAATATTCTTCCTCCCCAAGGCTCACCACTCTTCACATGCTGTCCACTCATTTTGTATTTTCTCATCTCCTCTGGGACCTTGCTCAACTCATCATCACCTCTTCCCGCAGTACTTTCACCTTCTCCTGCTCCACTGACACTGGTTTCTTCCCATCAATCCCTAAACATGCTTATGTTTCTTTTCTCCTATCCTATTATTTCTCCCCTGACATTCTAACTTACCTTCCATTCTTCCCTCCATACAAACACTCTCTGCAAGGTCAAGTCTACCGTCACTGTCTCTCTTTCATTATTTTACCACTTCCCATTTACTCTCCAACTGCTGGCAGTTTGGCGTCCCACAATGACCACCACTATCAACAAATAAAACGACTCTCCCTAAGGCCACTAATTACCCCTTAACTGCCAAATCCTGACCACTTTCCAATCCTGACCTTTTCTGACCTCTCTGACACATGTTAAGTAGGAAATCCCTCCTCCATAAAATCCTTTATTCCCTTGGTTTCTATTAAATGATTCTCTCCTAGTTCTCTTCCTACCTCTCTGATCATTCACTCTTTTTTAGTTTCCTTTCCTGGCCTCCGCTTTTGCCACCTCTTTTACCCCTTAGCGGTGCTCCTACACAGGTTTCTCTCTTTGTCCCTCTCATTCGGTAACCTGTCTTAGTGATGAGATCATTCTCACAACTTCCGTTGCCACCTACCTGATAACACCTAACTGTCTCTTGACCACTCTCATTAGCTCCAGATCCATATATCCACTGCTACGAGAAAGCTCTCCCTTGATAGCCCACTGGCATCTCAAACCCAACATGCTCAAAGCAGTCATTTTTTTTCTCTGCAAGCACCAACCCTGTTGCTCTCCTGGAAAACTTGCTAATGATACCACCACCTCCTCAAGTCAAAAAGGTGGGGATCACTCAGTCCTATCCCACACGCCTCACGTCCAATCAGACACCCAGTCCCATCATTTCAACTTCTTTGCTCTGCCTTAGATCCTGCCTGCCAAGAATGCCCCCTAGCCAACTACAATAACTTCATTCTCTGCCTCTAGTTTCTCTTCCCTCCAACCCACACTCCATACTTCCAACATCATCTTATAAAATTCTTTGTCTGTCCTGGCCACACCTTGACTTAAAAATTTGCAATGAACTTCTCTTCATGTACAGAATTCTGTCCAAACTCCTTGGTATAAGGGGCAAAGTCTTCACTCACCTGGCTCCTGCCTGTCTCTCTAGCAGGTACCGCAGTCATGGCCTCACTCGGTCATGATGATCTCTGCCACTGGACAAGGGACTCTTTGAAGGCAAGGACTATCTCTTATTTTCTATCATTCACTCTTTTAAGATGTGACCAGCACATACTGGGCCCTCAATAAATGCTTGTCAAACTAATCATATCTTTAAATATATACATTCAAAAGTAGTGCTTAACTGAGTTAGGAAAAATACATTTTTGAGGATCATACTATTATTCATAAATTGAGAACTCGTAGTTTAGGTGCCCTAAGTCTCTTGGTCAGACTTACCAGCCTTGGAAAGCACCTGAGTGTCTCAGCCAGAAGCTGCTCCCCAATTCCGACCAAGGCAGCAAGACTGGTCTCACTGGGCCCCAATCCAAACAGCTTCCTCTCTACCCCAAAGTAGTATTTGTGCCTGTGCCATCCTCATTAAGAACACACCTTTACCGGAGTCACTCTCTCCTAAATGGTGCTCTTCTAAAATCACAATTCTTGAAATTTTTCTCTATTGTTGTTTTACGATCGACATCATTTTTGTTTCAATACAGAAAATTCCACTGCTACTAAATTGCAATGAAAACCAACTAGCTTCCAGCAATTCCACAAGAGTCTTCCTGCAACCCCCACCCCAAATAGAAAATTCAGAGGCAGTCACTGTGAAATCAATACGTGTAGACACAGCAGTATGATCATTACTGGAGCTACACACCAGCTAAAATACCTCTAGAAAATCGACTACCCTGCCCCTCTGGTGAAGGCAGTCTCCTAGCCCATGATGATTAAGCACTGGGAAAAGATGCCAGGCTTTCCCTTTCTCCTGGAACAGTGACTTTCAATGAGCACTCAAACCATTAAACAGCTGCCAACAGCCTAAAACAGGAAAGGAAAGCAGTGGCCTTGCAGTGGGTGGCCGTGGGTGGTGAGGTCTTCAGGGCCCGCCTTGCTGATCCTCAGTGGGGGATGGCATCAAGGGGGCATTCCCTGCTCTAGGAAGTACTGGGGAACAGAGAGATTGGAGATGGGAAATCTCACAACTCCCTTTCAAATCTGACTGTGTTCCCCAGAGAAATGGTTTATCTCTGAAGACTGCCCAGAAACTTGCGATGGCCCCCAATACAGTGTATGTGTAGATTTCATTTGTCAAATATATTCTCCCGGAAATGATTCGGGTGTTTTAAAAATAGATTCAGTGTTGATGAGTGCATTCAAAATTCTAACAAGCAACCGATTTCTAGAAAGATAAATTACATACATATTCAGCTACCTTGTAGGGCTCCCCAAAAAGATCAAAGCCTGAAGAAAAGAGATCATCTTCTTGCTGGACTTCTTCATTCCTCCGCTCCCATTCCCTTTTTTTAAGTGCACTACGGTCTGGTTCATAGTGACTGATAAGAAAAGAAAAAGACAAAAGGAGAAAAAGATTAATTAGTCATGTAAGTCATGTAGATTTTTCCTGTTATCAAGAAGAAGAAGAAGAAAAAAAAATACAAGACCCCCCCAAATCGATACTGAACAGAGAGCAGAGAATCCTTTTTATACTGTCAGTGGGTTGAAGATTCTGACCAGCTCTTCAGAATACAGAAGAAAACAGGAACTTGCTTATTAGACATTGTACTCATGACCACTTAAGTATGGCAGAATTCTCTCCTCTTATCCTTGCTTGATAAGTATAGGCAATTACAGACTCCCCCAAAGTCAGTTCACAGTGCAGAAAGGTACTGAATTCAAGTTGCACTGTAATGCCAGCTGCATAGGGCTCAGAATTCACAGATGTCACGAAGTCCTGAAAGAAAGGAATTATCAAATATATTGTTGTACATAAACTGAAATTCTGTCCTGAGCCCGTAGCCAGAGTTAGCCTGTTGCAATGAAATCCCCAGGAGAGCTGAAGGACATTTTTTGGAAGTCCACACACAAAAAACCAACCAACCCCAAATCACTCAATCACTCACACTGCTTTTCGTTTTGTTGTTGTTATTTTGGTCTTCCCATAGTTTGAACTATAGGTGACTGGGAGGCTTTTTGGAAACTCTTGGGGTCTTTGTGTAACAAACAACTACCAAAGAAAGGAGGTGTCAAAAGCCTTGACTGGCCGTAACACACAAATGCTTTATCCGCACTAGGAACACTATGTAACGCTGCGACTCTCATCATCCCGTTTCAGGCCTTCCCAGTGGAGGGTCACCACAAAAGCTCCAAGACAATATCTAGGATATGTTCTGGGCCCTTGGATTTTATAGCATGGAGTGCTTCCGTATTAGGAAAGCAATTATTTTCTTTATTGTGCAAGACGATGCATGTTAAGCGGTAATCTGTAAACCTCACAGATTACAGTTAATGTAGCGTAGTGAGGCTGGACTTTAGTTTGTTCATTGGGTTTTTTCCTCCTGACTTTGATTCTAATCTTACCCAAAGTGAGGACATACATATAGGAGGGGCCAATTTACATCATATAAATGTGTATAAAATGCCCAGCAGGTGGTATATAAATGTTGCTTTCCTTCCCCATATCAACACTGCCATGTTAAGATTTAATTAGATAATTGACATGCAAATGAACATAACAGCTAAAGGAATTACAAGCCATGTACTCATATAAAAGTACAGTCGACAGGTTTGAATACATCCCAAACTTTGAAGCCTATCACTGAGCCCAGTTTGCTCATGAGGATCATCACTTTAATTTACAAAATAAGAGCCCAGAGCATGAAATACCCATGGCAGCTGAACTAGACATTGATATATATGGAGTGTAAGATGCCACTACAATGAATCATCACCTTTCTGCACAGGGATCCTTGAGCTGACTACTTCAAAGGGACTTTGATAGCCTTATCTTCTGGATAAAACAGCACTTCATTTCTCCATTTTAAAACAGTGGCAACATTTAAAGGATGTTTACATGTCCATTATGCTTTCATAATACAAACAGTGCCAAATACATAAAGAGCTCACTGGGCCCCTCCTGAGTTGCTCGGCAACTGCTACCACTGGGGAAAACAAAGCCCAGGCCCCACACCGGACCCCGCCTGGTCAAGAATGAGGCCCAGCCCAGATACTGGAAGGCAGCCTCTGGTCTCCGATGCCACCCACATATATTATGTTTGCTAGGGTCCTCTCCCATGTCCATTCACAAGTCGAGATCAGAACGCGCCAGCAGCTGCCATGTGCCACAATGTCTTTGTGTTGGGGGGTTGATGTGGCATCAAGCAGGCAGACCGACATCTTCAGCACCACGCATTGGCTGGGCATGATCCAAGCCCACCATCAGCTTGTAAACACGCGAGAAAGGTGGGGTGTCTGGGGTGGGGACGGAGGAGAGGGTCACAGCAGCACTCGGTGGGCTTGGGAGTGTGCTGCACAGGAGCAGGCCATTTGCTTCCTCTGCCTTCTGTGGCAGGGCACTCCACACACACAAACAGGAGCCCAAGGCTCGTCCTTCCGAGGAATGTGAGCAAGACGTCAGTGTGGTCACTCTCCGTTCATTCCGTGCAGCTGGCAGCCTGGATGGCGGACCTGCAGATCCTATTTAATTCTCCTGTGAACAGAACGGCAGTACTTTGGTCTCTTGGCTTTGCAAACGACCTTCCTTCTCTGAGGGAGACATATAATTAAAACCCTGAAGGAAAAAAGGAAGGAGAAGGAGGAACGGCAACGTGCTCCGACTTGCACAACAACCCTTTGCGTGGCCAGCCGACAGGGCGCTCTCTGTGCCTTCGACGGGGTTTGATTTGTTAGGAGGCTCTTCACTGCGTTTTGCAGCGGTTCATTAGCTACCAAATTCCAAAGGAAAATCTGAAAGCAGGCTGAGTGTGCACATGGGTGTTATCTGTTGCAAGAAAACTGCCTGCTACATTGTTGAACACTTATAACAAAGAACAGTTAATTCTCATATCTCTGGTGAGAATGAATTTAATCTCCATAGAGTTCCACTGCTCTTGGAAGGCAACCAAATATCTCCAACCTTCTCCTTTTTCGCTCAGCACGGCACCGTATTGATCGTTTCACGCAGCGAGGTAGACTGAAGAACGCACGGCATGGTGATGAGGCTTTCACAGCGTAGGACATCACTAATTTCTGACTAAGGCCAAAATTACTAATTTGAAGCACCAGCTAATTAAAACCACAGCTATGTATTTAGCCTCTTGTTATACCTACTGCAGTTTATAATTATGAGGACCTCTTTATCTACTCAATTAAAATTCTTATAATTCAGGCAGGTTGTGTTTGAACCTGTGGGCCTTGCGGAGACCACAGGAAACCCTGTGTCTGTCCCCTGATGATGTGATGTACCTTTACACTCCCGGGCTTGTTTTACAAAGAAACAAATGGGCTCCATAGCCCAGGAAGAAATAAATGCTCAAGCCAGAAATCTATGAATCACCATATTATTGGTCTGAACAATTCGAGTTTATTTTACTGATGAGGATAGAGTGAGAGTGAATTGGTCCTATCAGAAAATCCACTTTGATATTGGGAAGCTGAGCTGAAAAGCTCAACTCAAGGATTCTCCATTCATAGCAAGCTAGGATGTCCTGCCAACTTTCTTTTCCCAGTATGCCTGGAATTTGTCGCATTACGGTGGCCTAAACACCAGTGAGCACTCAAAGCTCAATTTGCTCTTAATTAACTAAACGCCTTTGGTCTCTCTCTCTAGCCAATCTTTTCAGAATCACTGCTTCACTGACATCCACACTAGCTGAGAGGAAAAGGCCAGAAAGAACAAGGTCCACTTAAACACATTACTCCAACGTGAGGCGTGACACTAACACCCTTGCCTCAGGAAAGGGGCGTTGTATTAGCTCTGGCTTCACCTACCTGTCTGTTTCCCTGGCCTCGAGTAACAGAACAACTGCCCTTGTTAACCTGGGGGGAAACTAAGGCCACTCCTGAGTTGGGGGGAGCTATCCTGAGCCCTCGTCAAAGGACTGGCGAAGACAAATATGAACCTGTCCTTTCCATCTTCAAGCATAAGTGACTTCTTTTCTCAGATGTGGTCCTATCCTTGTCCTTAAACCCCATCTTGTACTCTCATTTTCATCATTAGAAGCCACAGGGTGCATTCATGGGACATATAACCCAGGGCACGTGTGCCGAGTCGCTGAGCTCAAGGAAGTTCAGTTACGCCGTCTTCATTAGCTCATGGTGGTGGCACACTCAGACTGAAAATGCAGGCTACTCTTTCAGAGCAGAGCTGTAGAGGAGGAAGACACATGAGCAGTCGTGTAGTTCCGGTCCCTTCCTTCATTTTCCAGATGAGGAAACTGAGCTCAGAGAGGTAATGGGCCTCACAGCAGTTTTGGGGCAGAACTAGGAGGTGGGACCCCAGGCTTCCCAGTTCCCAAACTAGTTCTCTTCCTAATGCCCCATGAGTCATACCTTCTGTCTCCCACATTTCCATCCCACTCAAGAATGAAAATTAGTCTCAGTTGCACTCTGTTGTCAACTTTCCTTAGGATTGTGTTGTATGAGAAATTGCCAGTAGGGAAAAACTTCAGGAATTTAATTTGCATCTGCATATAGAAAAACCATTAGTTTCCTTACACCAAAACGTACGGACCCTAAAGGGATTGTAAAAATTAATGACATCTGTGGGGAGAAGCTGAGCGAAGGAGAATGAAAATCAGTTTAAGTCCATTTGGCTTGTATTTCATGAAGTTTGAAAATCATTGTTCACTTAATCTGGTTATTTTACAAAGCTAGTTGGGGAAACACTAAAAAAAATACACTGATATTTTTAAATGACAAGTTTGTTTCAAAATACTGCTAATTAATACAGGATTGACTGTAGTAACCATGTACATGAAGGTGAATAATTCAGTCTCACTGGTTTTCTAATCTAACTGGCATGAAAATACTTTTGTTTTGGCTAATATCTGTAAAGGCATAAAAAATACATATTTAATTCACCCAAGGGACAAACTTGAGCTATAACTTACTCCTTGCGGTTCTCCTGAATCAACTTCTGCCTTCTGTAAAATGTGTAGATAACTATACTTACTCCGTGTTCCAGAATTCCAAGTGGTAGTTTTTTCAATATCTAGCCCTATTTTGAATTTGACACTGAGCCTTATTTTGAATCAGTCTTCACATGGCTTCTATTAGTTAAAAAAAGAAAATCTCTGCTATTCAATACCTTCAAAATCAGCTCCAAGTTATGTACTTATTTTATCTGCTAATATGCATGGGCACTTAAATGCAAAGAGCTAAATTGAAAACTATTTTAAAAAGCTAAAGACAGGCCATAATTATTTTCACAGATAGGGAAGGTGCACGAGAACCATGGATCTGGAGGTGTGAATGTGGCCTTGAAAAGGATTTTCTAGAATCAGTAGAACCTCTAAGTCATATTTAGACAGCAGGACTCATTGAGACCTCTGCATAC